CCCCAAAACCCCAAAACCCCAAAACCCCAAAACCCCAATTTTTATTAATGGAATTGAAATAAAATGTCGTTTGAGTTAACTTCAATTTCAAGAAAGAGAAGCAGTAAAGGACTGAAAGAGAAGAGGAAAAGGGTAAGATTTATTACTCGTCTTTAAATCCTGATATTTTGATTGAGTTTCATAATATATAGGGCAATTCACGCCATTGGGAACCGTATAAGAACCTTCAGCCACCGAGTAAATTACTTCTCTCAAAATATAGGCGCATATTACTGTGAAGAAGATGAGGAGAGGTAAGCCTTACCTGAATTTTTACAATTCCCATAGCATTCATCTTTCTGATCACGTTGGGAGTTTTTATTCAAAGCCGCCAATTTTCGGGTACCCAGTCCTGAACTTCAGTGATATAAATTCAGACCATTACTTGGCAGAAGAATCTGATACTGAATTGTTTTTTCAAAGTTCAAACTCTAGAAATATGATGTAACTCTTGTCTAATCTCTAGAAACCCAACAAGAAGGTCTTTTTGACATGAGAGCAAGAGGATGAGGTCTAAACAAACCCAGATGATGGATCGAGTCCTGACCTGTTTCACTTATGGAAAGCCCTTATTACGTAACTCCAGGTCTCAGGTGAAACAATTTATTAAGCGATCATATAACAGTTAGCCTTGCTTATGACGTTTTAGACGGACGGGATTTGATCACTCGAAAGGATCAGAGCAGACGCAATAAAGTTATTTTTCACAAACAGAAATCCCTCACAGAATTGGAGCTATATCGCTCCTGGGTGCTTCACAAAGGAAATGGGCTTGACTGGAAAGTCCCAAAGAAGCGTCAGAGGAGGAAATATGGCAAATTTTAGTATATTTGGACTGACCTGTAGCAATTTTGACTTCTCCTCCACTATCTTTGACAATAAGAAGGAATTCACATTGGAAATCAAGAGTGAATGATCTTCTATTTGTGATGAAATTGACAAGATCTCGTTCTGATCTGACCGCGTTCAGAAAAGGTTTAGGACATACGAGAGTGACGAGGAGCAGAGCTCAGACGATACCAGTGTAGAAAGGAGAAGGAAAGAAAAATGTAGGTCTTGAAATTTTTGAAATCTGAGAAGTTTGAATCAAATTTTCTATAGATCTTTCTAAACAGAAACATAAGTTAAAACTTTCAAAAACTATTAAAGTTAAGTTAAAAGCGTATTTTACAAAGAAAAATAAGAAAAAGAAGCAAAAGGAGGCACTTAAATCTCCAAAAGACAATATAAAGTACCCTATTTATTCAAATATAGTTACTCAATCAACCTGAAAGAGATGAGTTCACAATTTAACCGGAACTACATCATCAGAGAAAAGTCAGAAATGATTGAAAACCTCATACCAGAAATGGGGGTCTGAAATCTCTCTTTATCTACTCTGGAGAAGACTCCTTTAATGAACAAATTATTTGTGATAAAATAAGAAGAAAATGCTTGAAAAATCGCATAATGATCGACAGATAATGAGGAAAACTTTTGTAGATCCCGAAGCTTTTAGAAATTGTAGGTCTATATCTTCTTGTCTCATCATTTTTATAGCCAAAGCAGTTAGGAACATCATGAAGCTGAAGAGGAACAGGAGCACTGGGCATTATTTCACACCTCAGATCCAGTCAAGGCCTTCTCAAAGGTATTGCGCTTGACATTAATCGTTGTGCTTATAGACCCAGGAGTAAAGAATCGCCACAACTCCCATTAAAATCTAGAAAAAGTAAGCTCAGGTGTTATTTTTAGATATTTTTCTAAAGAAACTTCGCAACCAAAAGACTCTCTGCTTGAAAAAGGTATGGCCCCTTCTTAGTCGTAGGTCAGAGTATTAACAGGAAGTGAGACCAGGAACACCCTCTCAAGGTAAGCACCTTAAATATAATCCGTAGGCACAGCAATGTTCTGAACCAGACTTATTGGTATTAGGGCTATCTCAATGTTTGCAAATATCATGGGGTTTTGGGGTTTTGGGGTTTTGGGGTTTTGGGG